GCAAAAAACCTCAACAAAATATTCAATTCAAACTGAATTGAACAGTACATTAAATGGATCATATACCATGATCAAGTGGGATTTATCCCAGGGATGCAAGGATGTTTCAATGACAAAATTCAGCATCCACTTATGATAAAAACTCTCAACAAAGTGGGTATAGGGGGATATACCTCAACATATTAAAAACTCCATATAATAAGCCCACAGCTAACAGTATACTCAACATACTCCACGATGAAAAGCTGAAAGCATTTCTTCTAATATCAGGAACAAGACAAGGATGCCCATGCTGATCAGTTTTATTCAACATAGTATTGGAAGCCCTAGCCACAGCAATCAGAGGAGAAAAAGGAATAAAAGGAATCCAAATTGGAAAGAAGTAATTGAAACTGTCACTGTTTGCAGATGACATGATACTATACATAGAAAATCCTCAAGATGCCACCAAAATCTATTAGAACTAATTAATATTAGAATTAATAAATTAATTCAGTAAATTTGCAGGGTACAAAATTAATATATAGAAATCTGTTGCATTTCTGTATATCAACAACAAATTATCAGAGAGAGAAATTACGAAAACAATCCCATTAACTAAACCTCTTCTCCCTAGTATAAACAGTTTGGTTGAGGTATTGATATCTTCCACATATTCTAGAACATAACTTCATTTATTCCTTCACTAAGAAAGAGGACAATAACTAGCTTAAATGTTTAAATAAATAAACATTCACCCTGGAAATGGAGAAAACAAACTTTATTATGATGATTTGAGATTTTGTGCATGGTAAAGATATACACATGAATCTTGTTTCTCCTATGTTTCAAGACAGAATTAATTTAAAGATTTATTGTAGACTGAAGCATCCAAAATACTGTGGTACATAGGTAGCTATGAACATACAAACACTTTGATGCACAGCGTTCATTCTTTTCTTCAAATAGGAAGTCAGCATTTTGATCCACAGAAGAACAAATGTTGAGAATATATCAGTATCAATGTCAGAGAGCGCAAGACTTAAGTGTTCTATACACAAAACACATGAAACAGACCTATAAAGGTGGAATGTACAAAATTTAAAAAGAAAAAAAAAGCAAGTGAAAACCTCTCATACTTATACATAGGATTGAAAGGCTACAGAATTGAGAATGATATTAAGAATTCTAAGAATACACTCTGTTCATGACAGAACATTCCCATGTCATAAAGCAAAAACATTGAGTTTAAGGCTGTGTTGCTTTCAAAAGTTACTGGAAGTGCTGTACATTCACTGGAACAACATAGCCAATTTATTCATCTGTTTTAGAATATTAATAGCTTTCATACATTCTCCACAAACAGACCACACAATCACTGCCACACAATTCATCTTCAGAAAGTTTAAGATTAACATCATGATTTGTGGCTTACTGTCATTTAAAACAAAAAAAATTTATTTATTTATACCAAATTTTTGATGGGCACTTCGTTTCCTTTATGGCAATGCTAGATTCCTAGTTATCAAAAATATTAAAATAATTTTAAAGTTTAAAACCCTGCAACATTTACAGAATGCAACAGTATTACGACTTTTGATTTTAAGCAAAATTAGACAATGTTTGCAGCAAATAACTTCAATTTTATCCTACCTTGAAACGTCTTATTTTTAAATTATACTAAAAATATTCCTCCTTTTTCAGAAGCTGGTGAATAGGGAGGATAAGATAGAGTCCAAATGTACAGAAAGATTTTTCCCATCTGAAGTAATCTGCAGATTACCTGATGCTTATTTGCGATTTTCTCCAATTAACTCAATAGGTATTACCAAAGCATTTATGTGAACCCTTCAGTGTTAAGGATCCATAGACACTTGCTAGCGTACTGCTTTCCCAGTTAACTCTGTTAGGACATACCTTGTATATTTAGTAGTAGAATCAAGTGTGTTCTAGTTGCATGGACCTCTTAGTATTTATTTGCTTCAAATCTAGTCAAAGAGTAAATTAAAAGAAGGAAACTTGGGGACTTTAGTTACTAGAGATTAAAGTTTGATCAAGATACCAAGAACCATTTTTTAAAAAATGGCTAACAGTCATAAAGGCTTTTTATTCATGTGTTTCTAGGTGGTGAAGTGACTCTCCACCCACCTCCCTGTGTCCAGCAGGGGAGGTCTGTGTCAGAGATACAGTTACTAATATCTATAAGCGGGGAGGGAATGCATTGTCACCTACCTTTACATTCTAACTGGCAACATTTTGCCATAAGTGCCCAGGGGAAATCTGAATGGGTAATTTTTCAGTGCTACTTATCGTGAATGTATGACACGTTCTGTACACTTGACAAAGAGAAATCAAACAATAATGGTAGCCCAGAAAAAAAGTCACTTATTTTACTATCCTTCTCAGTTTACTAGAAACCATTTTTCAAAGAATGTGACAAAGTTTCATTTAATCTTGTCTATTCGTATCTTATCAGCAGCACGTTTCCCCCTAAAATATGCTTACTAATACAGTAAATGCACATATGTATCCAAATTTGAAATGTTATCTATACTTTAACATATATGATTACACATATTTTGGGGATATATAGTGTTTCCTGGAGTGCCCATAGCATGTGTTTTAGTAACAGACAGTGGAACAGGTCTGAATCAAAGTATCTCTTCTTTCATTCCAGTTTCATTCCAATACTGACATGTAAAAAAACTAGCTTTGTATTCAATCTACTATCAAGATATCCAGTCTCATATGGTACGATGGCTGGTTAATTTCTAAATTCACAAGTATAATTTAAATGTGCAAAAAAACCCTTTAAGTAAACTAGTCTTAAGATCAATGGCCTATGACAGAATCTACATAGGGAGCCATTTTTACTTGTGAAAATAAACTGAAATTCATTTAACCAACTTAAAAAGTTTCCTTTTAAACATTCCAGAAGTTATCAAGGGTCTAGCTTATCTTTTATGCAGAATGTTAATAAACGGTAAAATGAAATTCCCTCACTAGAGTGTAAGCTCCAGGGGGGCAGGGATTTTTGTCTGTTTTATCCATTACTTTATCCCCAGTGCCTAGAATAGCTGCTGGCTCCCAGTAAGCGCTCATTAAATATGAATGTTTAAATTCAAAGACTTATTTCACTGACATTAGGAAACAGTGTCTTAGTTTAACATTCTAAAAATGTCATTGATTTATTTAACTTTATCATGGACAGTCTCAAATATTTTGAAAATTCTACCTAACTAAAAAATTACTAAACCAAAATGTAAATCTTCCTGAAAAAGATTTTTTTCAGAGGTTGAGTTGGGCATAATAAATTTGATAGATAATTGGAAGATTTCCCTTCTAAATTTAAAAAAGTCCTATATAAGAGAATGGCTGAATTATAAATTAATAAGCAAGAAACATCACATTCATATAGTTATACATGTGGGAAATGTTTTCTTATAGTACAGTTCTAAGGTGCTTTCAGTGAAAAAGGTCCCAAAGTCCTTATTGAAAATGCCAAACATGACATCCTGTTTGGTAGAACTGAGTAGAAAATTAAACAGTGGAAATAGACCACATCTTATTTTACAGTATTAGATTGACTAAATTATTCTTAACATTTTTCAAAACGCATTTATACTTAAAGTTAAATGTAACTCAAGTTGAACTTTTTTTTCTTTTGACCTGTTTTTTGTTTTGTTTTTGAAAGCACAGAAGGCCATTTTCTGACTAAAAGTCAGCCGATACAAGCATTCCTGGAAAATGGCAAAAATTACATCTGCTTTAGGGCTTGCTCTACTAGGACGGCTTTAAACTGTGCAGTTAAGGAATGTGCTGAAGATGCTTCTGTCTTTCAGAGTGCTGCCTATTTCAATACACCGAAGATTCAGCTATATATATCTATATATGATACATTCTACCCTACCCTAATCATGTATATATAGTCCTTTAATGCCTCTACTAGTCATTAGACGATGATAAATAACCATAACATGCCCTTACCTGTAATGCTTTTGAGATAACACAACTTTGGTAACACTTGTTTCTAAAAGGAAACCACTGATCAATCACATGCCTTTGGTTGACACCATCAGTCCTCCAAAGGGCTGCTTATGGCTCTCTGTCCTAGGATACTGGTGTCCTACTACATGTGCTGACATTTTGCAGGAGGTAAAGCTTTCGCATTCGTGAAGTGGAAAAGGAGAGACACATGTGAGAACGTGGCACAGAAAATGTGACTGACTTTTTCTTGATTACATTCCAGTGCATTAATCTGGGGCTGGTGTAATATGCTTTTCAAAGTATTAGGAATTTCAGGATTCCCTGAAAATGAACTTTGTTTTTTGATACAAGGTGAGCAGGAGAGATGAAAAGAACACACGAAGAAAATCTTTGCTCTAACTCAGAAAGGATGGGAAATTTGCATTGATTATTTTAAGTGCTAAACTCAAGACGCTTGCTAATCCCAGCTGGGAGGATTTTGCAAGACAGTTTCCGTTTTTCCCAAAGTAATTTATATGTAGCTACTAATAACCAAAAAAATGTCACAAGGGTAATACCTACTGCAAAAGTGAGGTTAGAAGATCCCCTGGGTCTTGTGACCAAGGTTAAATAAAGTATATAACTATAACAGATTTTGTTTTTGTTTTGTTTTTGGAAGCTCTGCGCAAAAGCTACCACTCACAGGATTAACAAATACCTTTACATATTCTAGTTGCTTTTAAATGCTTATTTGATTTGCAAAATTAGTTTAGCTACATAAATCCCTGTCCTATAAGCCATAGTTCACAGGTGTAAAACTCTGCAGTTTTTATAGATTCAGTAGAAGAGATTTCTTTTTTTTTCAACCCTAAATGTGGATTATGGAAATCAGATATGCAGTTTTTAAGGAAATCGTTACATTCAGAAATAACCTTGGGAAGTTCACCGATGATTCCTTCTAGCATGAAAAGTCTAGTATAATCTGGTCCTGCGTTGAGAAATCCATTCCAGTTTATGTGTAAGATCTTTGTAAGGGGGTGTCCAGTTGCCCACTGTTACTGTAAGTACCGATACACCTTGAAACAGTGGTTTCCAGAGTCTGCAACCACCACGTGGCCGTCTGAAGTTAGGGCCAGGCCTTGGGGGCCATAGAGTGGGTCAGCAGATGTGTTAATGTAGGACAAAAACGATCCACTTCCATCAAAAACCTGTAAATATAAAGTCAGAGTGTAATAGGAAAAGTTACAGTAATACGATGAAATAGGGGTTAGAAAACCCTTAATGCTAATGCTTTTAGTATAGAAGCATGTGTGCAACCCCCCAGGTTTGTTCAGGTCACTATCACAGAAAACCCCTCCCTCCACTTACCTTGCTCCCCCTCCCCTCACTCTCTGTGCCCCACAGTCACTGACAAGGAATGTGCCATTGGCCATAGGATCTCACTTACACTCTTACAGTGGTCACATGTGAGGGGAATGGCCCTGGATGCTGCCTGAAAAATAAAAGATCCTTATTTCTCACTCTAAGCTTATTCCCAATCATAAGAGAGAAAAATCAGCAACTAGACCACAGAAGAATGTCCTGAGTCACAATGTGCAACGAGAAAATAGAAATTACTCTTTTCCTTTTCAGAAAAGAGTAAGTTGTACGAAGTCAATGGTTCAACAAGTGCATTTAGATAGAAAGTGGTCTTTTTTGGTCTGTAAGCTTCTGCTATGAGGAAACAAGAGGAACACTCCTCCTTCCCAGGCCCAGGCTGGTTTCTTTCAACCATTCTGGTTGGCCCGTAGGGTGTTTCAAAAGGCAGGTGTGATGAGGGCCACAATATAAACAGCTTAGCATCTGTGATCCTATACAGACGTGCTTTGTGAACTTCATTCCCTGTCTGCTTCTGGCTTCCCATCAGATATAGACGCCTCTTCCAAATGTAGAGGTCCACTGGGATAATTAAGCAAGATAAATATACTAGAGAAATTAAAGCATACAGTGTTACATTTAAAGTCTCAACCCCTTTCCTGAGAAGTGGATACCTATATCAGATTCAACTGCTCAGCTGCTGTCCTCACAGTAGCATCAGAATGCTCCTAGATTTACCCAGAGCACCCCGTGGTCCCAGGTGCACTGCACAGACCCACACAGGCGAGGATGAATTGCCCTGTCTGTAAATGCATGTTTCGATACATGCAGGTGACTACACAAGAGACATGGGAGAAAAGAAAAGTCTTTCTTCAGTGAGGACTGAAAAGCTTTGCTCTTAATTTAGAGGAAAATCAAAATTTTGTGTCACAGTCCCCTCTGATAGTCTGACAAAGACAATAGAGCCCATCTCAAAATAGTGTTTTAATAGTTTTTTTTTCCAGAATGTAGCCAGTTTTATTATTATTTATATCCAATCAAAATGCCAAATGCCATTCAAGATACCATTATTCCTAAACCATGGAAACATATTTGAATTAATTATTGTTACTCTCTTTTTTGGTTCACTTTTTATTTTGAAATAGTTATAGATTCATAAGAAAGTTGCAAAGATAGTACAGAGAGATTCTGCGTACCCTCCATCCAGTTTCTCCCAATGGTTACATCTTCTATACCTGTAGTACAATATTAAACCCAGCAAACTGACATTGGAATGTGTGTGTATAGTTGTACATTTTATCACAAGTATAGATTAATGGAGCCACTGCAACGAACATACAGAACTATTCCATCATCACAAAGATCTGCCTCATGCTGCCTCTTTATAGTCACACCCACTCCCCTTCTCCCAACATCTCTAACTCTTGCCAGCCACTATCTGTTTTCCTTCTCTATAATTCTGTCATTTTGAGAATGTTACCTAAACGCAATCATACAGCATGGGATCTTTTGAAAGTGGCTTTTTTTCACTCAACATGTTGCTCTTGACATGCATCTAAGTTGTTGAGGGTATCATCACTCTGTTCCTTTTAAGTGCTGAGTATTATCCCATAGTGTGGATATACCAGTTGTTTGGCCATTAACCTACTGAAAGACATCTTGGTTATTTTCAGTTTTTGGCTATAACAAATAAAGTTTCTATGAACAACAATGTAGAGGTTTTTCTGTGGACATAAGTTCTCATTTCTCTGGGATAAATACCCAGGAGTGCAATTACTGAGTTGTATGGTAAGTGTATGCTTAATTTTTTAAGAACCTGCCAAACTATTTTCAAGGCTGACTGTCATTTTACATTCACACTAGCAATGTATGAGAGATCTAATTTTTCTGCATGCTCACCAGCATTTGGTATCATCAATATTTTTAATTTTAGCTATTCTAATAAGTGTGTAGTAGTATCTCATCATGATCTTAATTTGCACTTCCCTAATGTCTTTACATGTTTATAACCTCTTCAGTGAAACTTCTCTTCATGTCTTTTGCCCATTTTCTAATTGGACTGTTTGGTTCTTTTATGTCAAATTCTGAAAATCATTATATATTCCAGGTATAAGTCCTCTGTCAGATAGTGTAGTTTATAAATATTTTCTCCCCGTTTGTTGCTTATCCTTTTATCCTCTTAACAGAGTCTTTCACTGAACAAAAGTTTTTAATTTTGATAAAGTCCAGTTTATTGATTTTGTTTTTTTATGGATCATACTCTCAGTATCATGTCTAAAAATTCTTTAGCAAGCCATATGTTCCAAAGATTTTCTCTTAGAACCTTCTAAAAGTTTTATAGTTTTACACTTTTCATTTAAATCTATAATCTTTTTTGAGTTAACTTTTACATAAGATGAGGTTCATTTTCTTTCCTTTATGGAGATCTTAATTGTTCTAGCACCTTTTGTTGAAAAGGTTACCATTCCTCCACTAAATTGCTTTTGTACCTTTGTCAAAAAGTCAGTTGGCTGCACACATGTGGGTCTATTTCTGGATTCTCTATGCTGTTCCCTTGACCTATGTGCCTATCCCTCCATTAATACCACACAGTCTTGACTACTGCAGCTATAGAATAGCTATATAACAAGTCATAAACTCAGGTAGAGGGATTCCTCTCCTTTTTCAAAATTGTTTTAGCTATTCTAGTCCCTTTACTTTTCCACATACATTTAAAACTAATCTTGTCTATATCTACAAGAATTCCTGCCGGGATTCTTTGTTAAACCTGTATGTCAGTTTGGGGAGAACAGACTTTTTTCTTGAGTCTTGCAATCCATGAATACAGTATGTCTCTCCACTTATTTAGATCTTCTTTTCTTTATTTCACTAGCATGTGAGCTTTCAGATACACATACTAGACATGCTTTGTTATTATATCTAGATACTTCCATGTTTTCAGCAATTTTAAGTGGTATTGTATTTAAAATTTTGGTTTCCACGTGTTCGTTGCTACTATATAGAAATACAATTGAGTTTTACATGCTGATCTTGTATCCTGTGACCTTGCTGAACTCTCTTATTAGTTCTGAGAACTGTTTTGTAGATTCCTTGATGTTTTTTTATGTAAACAGTCATGTTCTCTCCAAATAGGGATAGTTTCTTTCTTTCTTTCTAATTTGTAATCTTCTTATTTCCCTTTCTTTCCTTATTGTATTGGTTGGAACTTCCAGCACTAATGTTGAATAAGAATGGTGAGAGCAAACATCCTTGCCTTGTTTCTGATCTTAGAGGAAAAGTTTTCATTCTTTCACCATTAAGTACGGTGTTAGCGGTAGGTTTTCACAAACATTCTTTATCAAATTGAGAAAGTTCCTGTATATTCCTAGTTTTCTGAGATTTAAAAATCATGAATAGGTATTGAACCTTATCAAATGCTTTTTTCTGCATGAATTGATATGATCATATTATTTTCATTCCTTGGCCTTTTAATGGGGTGGATTACATTGATTTTTTTAAAATTCTCCCTTTATTACACTGATTTTTAAATACTGAATCAGCCTTGCGTTCTTGGCAAAAACCCCACTTGGCCGTGGAAAGATTTTCACATATTGTTGAATTCTATTTCCTAACATTTTAAGGAATATTAAAATATTCCTCATCTATAATCATGAGGAATATGGTCTGTACTTTTTTTTTTGTACTGTCTTAGTCTGATTTTGGTATCGTGGTATCAGAAGCTGAGTTGGAAAGTGAATTGTAAAGTGTTCCCCTGTCTTCTATTTTCTAGAAGAAACTGAACTGGTGCTAACTCTTCTTTAAATATTTGGTAGAATTCTCCAGTGAAACTTTCTGAGTCTGGAGATTTCATCTGGGGGAGTTTTTAAATTAGGAACTAAATTTCCTTAATAGCTGTAGAGCTATTCAAATTATTTACTTTATATTGGGTGAGTTGAGGCGTTTGTACTTTTTGAGAAATTGGTCCATTTCATCTAAGTTGCCAAACTGATGCGTGTAGAGTTGTTCGCAGAATTCCTTACTATTCTTTTGATGTCTGCAGGGTCTGTAATGATACTAGCATTTTCTGTCTTTTTTTCTTGGTCGGTCTTGCTAGAGGTTTGTCAGCTTTACTAATCTTTTCAAAGAATAACTTTCATTGATTTCCTCTTGAATGTAAATGATTTCTGATACTATCTTCACTATTTCCTTCCTTCAGCTTTTGCTTTCAGTTTTTGCTCTTCTCCTTCTAGCTTCTTGAGGTGGGAGCTTGGGTTCTTGATTAGAGACACATTCTCTTTTCTAATGTAAGCATTTAGTGTTATTAGTTTCCCTTGCGGGTAGAATGGTGGTCACCAGAGGGTAGGGATTGGGGAGAAATTGGTCGAAGTGTACAAACTTCCAGTTAGAAGATGAATACGTCCCAGGCATCTAATGCCCAGGGTGCTGATTACAGTTATAATACTGTGTTATGTACTGGAAAGTTGCTAGGAGAGTACATCTAAGTGTTCTCACCACAAAAAAAGAAACGGTAATTATGTGATGTGATTTTGAAATATATAAGTGCATCAAATCAACATGCTGTATACCTTAAACTTATACAGTGTTCTGTGTCAATTACATCTCAATAGAGCTGGGGGAAAAGAATTCCCTCTCGGCAATGTTTTAGCTGCATTCCACAAACTCTGATATGTAATATTTGCATTTTCACTCACTCCAATATATTTTTAAATTTTCCTTGAGACCTCCTCTTTGACTCATGGGTTATTTAGCAAAATAATGTTTTTAAGTGCATAGGACAAAATACATGGGATTATAAAGGAAAACAATTATATTAAAATAGAGTTATCAAAGTGCTACAGAACTGTGATATAGTAATATGGGTGCTTTTTAAATTAACACATTAAATAACAAGGAACAACGATAGGTCTAATGATGACTGTAGTTTTTAAGTAGTGATCAGTATAAATGATAATTCGAGATGTCTACAATTGTTAATACGAAAATTTCTGTAAATTCTCTTGGTGACAAAGTTATAGGTATTACTATAAGTACTGTGATTATTGCCTATATGCATAATTAAAGGAAATTATAATTTTCAGTTAGAAGTTAGTAAAAATAATGATGTAATATTTTTGTTCAGTGGATCTCTTAAATTCTAGCTACAAATGCTTTTGGGGTGTGTGGGATACACGCTAAGAATCCCTGATTTAGAGGGTTTCACTCTGGTAATACGTTGACTTTTTTCTACTCCACCTTCTTTAGTTTGATTATTTACAGTCTAATTACCTAATCAATGAACAAATGGAAAACATTCCAGTCTGGGGTACAGACGATTCCCCACTTTCAACAAACACCAATCACTCTAAACAAATAAATCCGTATTTTAATCTACCTGGATCCTGCTGTTTCCCCAGTCTGCTACAATGATGTTTCCATTTGAATCCACTGCTACACCCGTTGGAGCATTAAACTGCCCATTTCCTTCTCCATTTGAGCCAAACTTCAACATGAATTCTCCTTCCTGATTAAACACCTGAATGAAATATTTTAAGATTATTTTATTTTAAATTAAAATAGTTAAGCAAACATTATGGCTTTTAAAAATATCTGAGCAGGTTATTCAAGACATTCTTAAAAAAGAGGGGGAAGTCTATAAGCTAGACTTCCATTCACTTGTGGTTCCCCAGTTTACTGTCTAAATCTGATTTAGCATTTTTTAACCACTTCTTTTTCTAGCTTATATCTGGTTATATTACTGTGTGAAAAGACTTTTGTTATAAATTATAAAATATATACAAACATAAGCTAATACGAGTAAGTAGAGCTGTAATTTCCAACATTATTCTTTCTGCATTTAAATAAACAGCTAATTTCAAGAACAGGCATTGTATTTCTACCAGGATGGATGATCACTCAAAGTTGAATCAGAAAGTAAGAGCTTTTTGTTAAGCCAGATACTCAGAATTTACTACCATTTTACTAAGTCAACATAACAAGAAAGAGTGGTAGGCTGGACCATGCATTTATAATAAGGAAAATTCATCGAATGAGTGAGTGCGTGTATGCGTGTATGTGTGTGTGATGGCAGCAGGTGAGGAATAAGAAAAGGATTTTTTAAAATAGATTTTCTCAGAATATATTTTAGTTAGAATAGAGAGTTTACACGACCCTAAGTCTTTGATGAATAGAGCCCATGAGAGAGGGAGGCTGACAGAAGTCGGGGCTAAACAGAACTCTTAAGAACTCTCAAATTCTCTAATATCTGATATGGTCAAGCACTGGGCTGTTGTGCTTAATTAAATATTCTTATTAATAGAGTGTTACTGTATATGTATCAACTGCAGATTACTCAGATTACTAATCTTGAGAGAATTAAAATTTTAATATGTGTTTAATGATAAGACTATAGTAAGCATGATTTTATCTCGATGATTCTGGTGATACTTTGAACCGTCTTTGGGAATTATTTTAAGCTTCCATTATCATGCAACATGTGTAGAAGTACTCATTAACGAATCAGAAACTGTTACATACAAGGCACCCATGAGGGTAAGGTTCGTAAAATATGGACCTGAGAGAGGTCACTATGTCTGAGCACAGATCTAATCTGAAGATGATCTCAGGACCTTTTAGAGATTCTCCTATTGCCATCTCTGTGGTTATAAAAGATTAAAATGATGCTATTTCTTTTAGTTTCTCTTTTTGTCTTTTTGTTTTGGGGTTTTTTTTCCGCTGCACCACACAGCATGCGGGATCTTAGTTCCCTGACCGGGGATCGAACCCACATGCCCTGCAGCAGAAGCACGGAATCTTAACCACTGGACCACCAGGGAAGTCCCTCTTTTAGTTTCTTATGATGGGAAAGTGAGATACTTCCATCTCTAAAGCCTAAACTTTCTTTAGGGTAAACAAATGTCATGACCACTTCCTGAATTAATTACATACTTGCCAAGTAAGTAAGCTACCTCTTTGGTTCTTTGGAAAGGACAGAGACGGGAACCAGCTTTTCCTAAAATATCATTTAAAATCTTTCCTGACTCTTTTTATCTCCTTCACATAAACATTCTACATTTAAAGACAAAAAGGAGTGTTTGTATGCTGGCGAGGACACGACTGATTATTCTCTGATCTTTCCCTTATTAAGTTGTACAGGGGAGGGATAAATTAGGAGTTTGGAATTAATATATACACACTACTATAAATAAAATAGACAATCGACAAGGACCTACTCAATAGCACAGGGAACTCTACTCAATATTCTGTAATAACCTAAGTGGGAAAAGAATCTGAAAAAGAATAGATATATGTACCTGTATAACTGAATCACTTTGCTGTACACCTGAAACTAACACAACATTGTAAATCAACTATACTCCAATACAAAATAAAAATTTGACAAAATACATACAATGGAACATAATTAAGCCTTGAAAAGTAGACGTCCTAACATATGTATATATATATATATATATATATATCATGTATAACCAAATCAGTTTGTTGTATACCTGAAAACTAACACAACGTTGTAAATCAAACTGTACTCCAATACAAAATAAATATGAAAAAAGAAGTTGTAAAAATATTTTTTTTGTTTGTGTTTATCTTTCTGAGTTACGTGCTTCTGCTCCATTTTGAAATAATGGAGAAGGCCAAATTTCGTCTTAACTGTTTTGCAATGAGAAAAAGGTATAAAGTGAAGGTAGCTGAAGAACTAACTAGCCCACTCATTAGCCCTGACCTATAGGTCTGGTTTTTACATTTACCAACAGAGAAGTGACTTGAATACTAGAACTCTTGTTAACTGCCCTGTGTTATATAGGAAACAAAAGCCCAACTACTCCATAAGAGCTATATGGCAACGACTGTCAAAGAGAAGAGAAAAAAACAAAATGACTGGGTTTTTTTCCCTCTAAATAAGAGGAAAATTGAGTTTAAATAACTAAACTGCCTCTACAGTACTGAAAACTTAAAGTGTTTTCATAATCTTAATCATGATGTCACATATTTTCTATTTTTCCCATCTAAAAATGTCATTCCATTATTTATAAATTATTCAGATGAAAACATATTAAGAGGCAGAAGTATGAGCTGAAATCTTTTTTATAGCTTTGCTTTTTTTTTTTTTTTAATATTTTTTTATTTTTTTGCGGTACGCGGGCCTCTCACTGTTGTGGCCTCTCCCGTTGCAGAGCACAGGCTCCGGACGCACAGGCTCAGCGGCCATGGCTCATGGGCCCAGCTGCTCCACGTCATGTGGGATCTTCCTGGACCGGGGCAGGAACTCGTGTCCCCTGCATCGGCAGGCCAACTCTCAACCACTGCGCCACCAGGGAAGCCCTATAGCTTTGCTTTTTGATGACAAATTTTTATAGCAAGTTTTTTAAGTCGGTCGATAATCCTTTTCTGATTTCAAAATTCTGCTCACCTCAATACCACCTCCACTTGGAAGTCTTCCCTGACGATCTTAGCAATGGACATGTATCTTCTTCTGGATACCTATAGAACTTTATATGTACCTATTTTTTAAGTCATTCATTGCTCCTGCCTTGCATTCTGGTCACTCACATGTTTTATTTCCTCCTCCAGCACCCATCAGGGCTGGTAAACAGGAGCCCTCCCACAGAGAGCTGCCTGGGGCATTGGGATGGGGAAGGCTCTGAGGCCACAGGTGTGCTTAGTAGAAAAGAGCAACCTAATTAACATCACTGTCTTCTGGTGGGGGTGGGCAGCACCTAGGCCAGGCTTTGCTGGCCTTTGACACTGTTAAGATCTATATGCATTTTCTTCTCGTTGAATGCGCTACAGTTAAATGAAGGATTCCTCTATAAAGAGAGTGAAGGGCAGGAAGCGTAATAATAGCCAAGTTATCCTTTTATAGTTATGTTCATCACACAGAACTGTTACAGCCCCCTGGGAGGACCGTCACAAGCCCAGGCCCTGCTGCCTCTTTGCTCTCTGTTTCTCTCCTCCTCCAAAGATTTTCCCACTGTCCTCTTCCTTTTACCAAGGCTGGGCATTGAGGGAGGCGGGGGAGGTGAGAATGGAGCCCCACCACTATGGTAGCAACTCTGGAGAGACTACATGGCAGGAAGCAGCCTTACAAGTAAGCAGCAGCAGGCACCATTTCCCCTTATCCTGCCCCGTCACTGTGCTCTCCTCTTTGCACAGGGACTTGACACCCATCTCAAAAGCTCAAGGCCTTCCCATTTACTCAGGTTAAAAGTACCTTCGTCCAGGAAGAGCTGGGGAAACGAAGCAGTGAAGAGAGAGTACCTTGGGGTGCTAAAATCCTATCCCCATCTAGCTATTCTAGCTATCAACAATGGCAAATTGTTTTTAAAGTTTGGTTGCTCACTGGTTGTCTCTAAGTGCAAACTTTAGTCATTGGCCTACCACCTGTGCTGTTTTCTTATCCTCCCTCACATTTGAAATGCCTCACTTTAAAAAATTTAAATGAATTTCCTTACAAGGAAAACTTTATATCACTTCCATAAGTGCAAACCAGTATGACTTGATGTAAACAGAAGGTAACTCTAAAAATATATACACAACTCTTAAAAGAAAAATGTCTGCCAGTGCACTGCCCAGTACTACCTGGCCTCCCCTTCAATGGAACACACATCACACTTTGAGAAGCTTGGTCTAGAATATTATTAAACATTTTCTCTTTTTGGTAAGTGAGACATTGGTTTTCAATCACTTCAGTATTTCCTGGTTTGCTCATAATAAAGGTCAAATCTCTCTTCTCTCCTCTACCTAGTAAGAAAGATGTACTACACTATTTGGGAGAGGGAGTGGGCGTTGTTTTCTCAGGAACACCAAGTGTGTGAAAGGATTCTAAGATGTATGAAATACACTACATGAATGCATGCCAGGGCTATTTCCCTCCCCAAATCTGTTGCTGTAGCAGAGTTCTGATATCTAATTTTGTTTGAAAGGTCTTATAATGCAGAAAATTGAAGAAAGTGATCCATTTTAATTTACTGAATAGCCACGAAAAGTTAAGCTTCAGAAAGTTCTGCCTAAGTTCAAGCAATTGCTTTTTTTTTTTTTTTTTTCTTTTTTGCGGTACACGGGCCTCACTGTTGTGGCCTCTCCCGCTGCAGAGCACAGGCTCCGGAGGCGCAGGCTCAGCAGCCATGGCTCACAGGCCCAGCCGCTCTGTGGCATGTGGGATCTTCCCGGACCGGGGCACGAACCCGTGTCCCCTGCATCGGCAGGCGGACTCTCAACCACTGCGCCACCAGGGAAGCCCCCAAGCAATTGCTTTTTTGAATTTCATTTTCAAGTTATCTCCATTTACACCAGTTTCAAATTAAGAAACTTATTGCCACCATATTTTGTTCACTTTTCTGACTCTCCAAAGTCTGTATGTCCAAATTAAAACCCGCATCTTTAAGGAGAAACAAAAATCTACTCTTTCGGCTACCTCCCCTAGGTCCTGTGTGTATATATGAGCGTTATGTTTTCTCCCAGACTGAGTCCTCAATAAAAGCAGTTAAAAGTTAACAACAATTGATGTGTTTATGGTACCTTGACAGAATGATTATGGAAATCTGTAACAATAATCTCATTATTGCTATTTACAGCTGCGAAATGGGGACCTGAAATAAAGATAGGAAAAAATATGTGATGACCATAACAACTAAAATGATTACAACAACACAGTAGTTACGAAACTTCATATATTAACTTAGTTATTTAAGAAAGAACAAAGAATCATAAACTCAGTCCTTGAAAGGTCATTCAGCCTGACCTCTGCCTCCAGATAACACGAATTCGATAGCATTCTACACTTGTGACTCTCTACTCTGCCTTCTTCCAGATCAAGCTAAGAGTTCCAGCAGCCCTCATGAAGTGAAATGAGCAATAAGCATTAGGATTCATTCTCGGCACCACCATCTGAAAGTCACATCTGCCAGCTTCCCTGATAGTCACATAGGACCCTCAGCTCTCACCGAGGAGAGACATGGTAACTCTTAGCACCAATATGTAACATTTTTTTCAAGTAGAGCAGAAACCCACACTTTATAATTTTGGGTGACATTCAGAACCTGGCAGAACTGGAGACAAAGCATAAAGAAAGGTTATGCAAATTAACACGAATTGCCAAAAGCATCCTTTCCAAAAGAAAATTAATCAACTGTTTTCAGCCTCTTCTTGCAGATGTAAAAAACGAAGTGATTGCAAAGTGGCACACCAGAAAAAGAAGGAAAAGAGACGGCCCTTCCTGTGCTTAGCAAATATTCTAAACTCCTGCTCTCTTACAATCACCTAGACAGGTGAAAAGTATTCTCATTCAGAAGCTCTTTAAATAAAGCTATAGCTAGGTGGAACCAGGAGGTTCTCCATGGTGCCTCAAACATTTTTATTTAAAAAATATTTTATTAAAGCTTATATTTTATTTAATGTTAATATTCGAAGGTTAGACTTCTGAGTTGTAAACTGCCACCAATAAAAACCACACACGGGCTGCAGTTGAACTTACTGTGGGCGGAGTCATTGAGCAGCATCTAACCATGCTTTCGCTTAGATTCCATCCCCAGTATCTTTCCCAAAGCCAGCAAAAACACTGGGGATGAGGCATCTTCAACATGCTCCAACATCATGCAAATGTGAGCAGAAGAGGCATAAAAAAGGGGGTTTACATATTACCATCGAGTGTACCTGCAAACTGCCTGTCCCCATTTCCTCGGCTACCAAACCTGGTGACTATTTTCCCGTTTGGCTGGAAGATAAACACGCAGCACGCCTTGTTATCCACCACGATGATGTGCCCATTGCGGTCCACAGAAACTCCTTTGGGCCCCATCAACTTTCCTGATCCGATTTTTGTCTGTTAGAAACAAGTGCAGAAATGAAGTTGAAAGCTCTACAGAACATGAAGACAAACACTGGTGTCAGCAAACATTTACTTGACTGTTCAAACAGAGGTGCACAGTGCCACAATGAGCATCTGTCTTGGAAAACTGTCTTTGTCACATCCATTATCTGTTACCGATATTTATAGGAAATCATTTTTTTAAGGAATCACTACCAAAATTGTTCTAGAATCTCCTTAACTAGGGCCACAGTTCCCTCGTAAAGAGGCAGTGTGGTATAGCAAGAGATCACCAAGTGAGGAGTAGGAAGACCGTCCCACACCTGTCACTTGCTTCGGACACACCTGATAAAGCACAAATGGATTTAATTTCCTTAAGATTCAGATTCCTTATATATTACAAACGTCAAAAAAATGACTTCAGTCACCTCCATTGATATTTCTGGAGTATGTATTAAGTAAAATAAAGTAGGTCAAGTGTAGAGCATAGCACATGTTAAGCAGTCATTAAAGGGAAGCAGTCACTGTCATTATTTTATGTCGTAATTAATATCGAAATTGCGAGGCATCTGCCATTGAACTTTACTACAATTAAGTTCCACACGGGTGGGAATCATGTCTGTTTTATCCAGCACTGTGTACTCAGAGCCTAGCACACTTCTTGGTGCCTAACAGGTACTCAACAAATATTTGTCCAATATATTAACTTCCAAAGTCTAGCATTGTTACAGGGTAATAATGATGATTAGTTCCAGTTTTCACAGTATTTTAAAATGACAAAAAAGCATTAGATTTCTATTAAACATATACCATATGCATTTAAAATCTTACTCATTTTTCTGAATAGACTATAGTATGCATATAAATGTCTGTTTGCTGCAAGATACATGTCTTATACCTTTACTTTTCTACCTCCATCTTCTAGAGTATTTATATAGTACTTTACTCATTCACCCATTTATTCACTAATTCTACAAACACTGATAGGGCACCCACTACATGGCACCTGGTAGACAAAGATGAGTTAGACACAGTGCCTACCCTCAACAACATCTCAGTTGCACTGTCTACCATGCCATTTTTAAAGTGACTGGGGTCAAATGTTCAATTTGGTAGATTTGGGAGAATTCAATAGGCCATCTCAGAAGCCATGTGGAATAACGACCTGATGAGACAGGTCAAGGAAGGAGAAGGACCACCCAAGGTGAGGGAGAGGTAGGCAAGAGGGACTGGGAGGTGACAGGGACAGCAAGAACTGCAGTCCTCCCCGGCACCAGGACGGAAAAGGTCAGGGTGAAGCAGATCTCTCTGTGCTTTTACGAAGGACCTTCAGATATATTCCTGAACAAAGCAAGGTACAGAACAGTGAGTAGTCTGAGCCCATCTGTATTAAATATGTGTTTGTATGTATACATATTCCTGGAAGAGAAAGTAAGAAACCAAATGGTGTTTATATCTTCCAAAGTGATATTAGTGACGGTAGGAAAAACTCTTATTTTATACTTCTCTGTAGGCTTATTTGAAAAATCTATTTGCATGTGTTACTTTTTAACTTAAAAATTTAAACTTTAAAAAAATTACATTCTCAAAGGTTCTGTTTCAGTCCCCTTATTTTCCCTCTCTCTGTTAATACTGTCTGATAGGAATGTAATGAAAGCTACATATGTAACTTAAAGTTTGCTAGTAGCCACATCAAAAAACAGAAAAAGAAACAGGGAAAATTCATTTTAGTTATGTATTTATTTAACCCAATATAACAAAAAGGTACCATTTCAATATGTAGTCAATATAAAAATTATTAATGAACTATTTTACATTCTTTATAGGGGACTAAGTCTTTGAAATCCAGTGTGTATTTTACACTCATGGCACATCTCAATTCAGACCAGCCCCCTTTCAAGAACTCAGTATCCACATGTGGCTTGTGGCTACCATATTGGACAGTACAACTCTACACACTTCTAAAATCTCATTTATGCTATGGCATCAACCTTCACCTCCATGTGTAAGATTCTCAAATCCATATCTTTAGTCATGGCCTATTTTACAGGTTATCACCTCAAACTCAACCAATGTCAAACCAAAAAACCAAAATAAAAATAAAAAAGAAACCCCAAACTAGCACCTCCTGATTTCCTAATTACTTTTATGACACCACAGTTAGTCCAGTCGACCAGGATCAAAATTTCAGAGCAAAATTCATCCTTTCTTTCACCAGCTTGAACCTCAGTTTCCTCATCTATAAACTGGCAGCTATGCTATTTACCTCCTGGGTCGTGCAGATTCTGAAGGATAAAAGAGAATGTCAAGCACGATCTCCTTCTCTCCCACCCTATCCAGCTGACATTATACTTGACTGGCAGGATTATCTTCTTTCCCCCAAACACATGAAGATACGTGCAGAGAGAGTATGGAGAGAGGGATGGGGACCTTTCCACAGTGGAGGTTCAGACTTTGTAGGATCTTGTAAGTTTATAAATGACTGAGATTCAGATTTGATCTCTGTAGAATAAAGAGGTACATTTACTTAGGAAGGAAACACTGGCATCCTTGCAAGGGAATCTGTTGGTTAATTTAATTCTGATTTTGCAATCTAGCCCAAAGATCACAGACTATAACATAATAGCTTGCAAACAAAATTATATACTTTCTTTCATGTCAGAATAGACGATATGTCAGTAGAGATCAAAAGGAAGAGAGGAAACTCTTGAGTATTGACAAGAATATTATCACTACCTAATATTATGAACAGTGTTTGTTACTTAGAATGACTCAGCCATATAATACCAAGTGGATGATAACTATGTAGCATAAAAACAGAAAATAAGGGACCAGTGCCATTCTATTATATAATGAGAACTAGTGCACTTCTAAAAGGAAAAACTTAAATGTTGAACCAAAACCTCTTTTTCTTCCATTTCCTTTCATCACTCCCCATTTAGCTGCACTAGATTCTACCAAGTGAAATAAGACAATGTGTCTTGACAATGTGTCCGCCATCTTAAACAGAACAATAAGCAAGGATATTTTAGACCCTGGCTTTGGAAAAGTTAAATGAAAGTATTTAACTCAACAAACAGGTCCTTAAACTGAAGAGGGGAGAGACGAGATATTTTAGAATATGTGGTGGCCAGGGGTCTCTGCATCTGTTCTGGGGTCACAAAAGTTTCCTAGATGGAGGGAAGATGGAAAGGAAAAAAATCGAGGCAGAGAGGAATGAAAATCAGGGCTAAGAAGTTGGTGAGTAGATTGAGAACCAGTCCCGGGAAGATGGAGGTAGGCGGGATCACGCTGGAGCGGAGGCGCTAAGATCCTGGCTCGTGCTCTATTGCCTCGTTGGACTTCACTCACAAAATCCAGATCCAAAGCCGAGTGGATGAAAGGCTCTTGCTGCTCCAGCCAGGAGTCAGGACTCTGCCTCTGAGGTGGGAGAGCCAACTTCAGGACACTGGTCAACAAGAGACCTCCCAGCCCCACAAAATATCAAACGGCGAAAATCTCCCAGAGATCTCCATCTCAACACCAGCACCCAGCTTCACTCAACGACCAGCAAGCTACAGTGCTGGACAACCTATGCCAACCATATAGCAAGACAGGAACACAACCCCACCCACTAGTAGAGAGGCTGCCTAAAATCATAATAAGTCCACAGACACCCCAAAACACACCACCACACGTGGACCTGCCCACTAGAGAGACAAGATCTAGCCTCATACACCACAACACAGCCACTAGTCCCCTCCACCAGGAAGCCTACACAACGCACTGAACCAACCTTAGCCACTGGAGACAGACATCAAAAACAACGGGAGCTACGAACTTGCAGCCTGCAAAAAGGTGAACCCAATCACAGTAAGATAAGCAAAATGAGAAGACAGAAAAACACACAGCAGATGAAGGAGCAGGATAAAAACCCACCAGACCTAACAAATGAAGAGGAAATAGGCAGTCTACCTGAAAAAGAGTTCAGAATAATGATAGTAAAGATGATCCAAAATCTTGGAAATAGAATGGACAAAATGCAAGAAGCAGTTAACAAGGACCTAGAAGAAATAAAGATGAAACAGACAATGATGAACAACACAATAAATGAAATGAAAAATACTCTAGATGGGATCAATAGCAGAATAAATGAGGCAGAAGAACGGATAAGTGACCTGGAAGATAAAATAGTGGAAATAACTACTGCAGAGCAGAATAAAGAAAAAAGAATGAAAAGAACTGAGGACAGTCTCAGAGACCTCTGGGACAACATTAAACGCACCAACATTCGAATTATAGGGGTTCCAGAAGAAGAAGAGAAAAAGAAAGGGACTGAGAAAATATTTGAAGAGATTATAGTTGAAAACTTCCCTAATATGGGAAAGGAAATCGTTAATCAAGTCCAGGAAGCACAGAGAGTCCCATACAGGATAAATTCAAGGAGAAATACGCCAAGACACATATTAATCAAACTGTCAAAAACTAAATACAAAGAAAGCATATTAAAAGCAGCAAGGGAAAAACAACAAATAACACACAAGGGAATCCCCATAAGGTTAACAGCTGATCTCTCAGCAGAAACTCTACAAGCCAGAAGGGAGTGGCAGGACATACTGAAAGTGATGAAGGAGAAAAACCTGCAACCAAGATTACTCTACCCAGCAAGGATCTCATTCAGATTTGATGGAGAAATTAAAACCTTTACAGACAAGCAAAAGCTGAGAGAGTTCAGCACCACCAAACCAGCTTTACAACAAATGCTAAAGGAACTTCTCTAGACAAAAACACAAGAGAAGGAAAAGTCCTATAATAACGAACCCAAAACAATTTAGAAAATGGGAATAGGAACATACATATCGATAATTACCTTAAATGTAAATGGACTAAATGCTCCCACCAAAAGACACAGATTGGCTGAATGGATACAAAAACAAGACCCATATATATGCTGTCTACAAGAGACCCACTTCAGACCTAGAGACACATACAGACTGAAAGTAAGGGGATGGAAAAAGATATTCCATGCAAATGGA